AGCTTCAAATCCTAATTTAAATAGTTTTATCAATTAAAAAATAAGAAGGATATAATAAATTATGGTCTGCTTACCTCAGTTCCATTAGCACCAAATACCAGCTACATACCAAACACTATAATGGACATGACAGCACAAATAAACAAGACATTCTTACAGAATTTACTTTCTAGTGAGGAAGCAGTCACAGTGACCACAGTACAAAGCAAAATATGGTAAATCTATGGAAGCAGAAGTGAGAAAAAATAATTTTGACTAAGGAAATGGATAATAAAGCTCCCTAGAGGAAGTATTAACAGAGCTAGCCTTAAAAAGTCTAGAGGCCATTCCAAACATGACCATGAACAAAAGTGTAAGTTACAGAAGTTCAATAAATGAGCCTGTGTGTTTAGATATGAGGGATGGTTAGAGATAACTCCAAAACAAACCAAACCCACTGCTGTCAAGTTGGATCCAATCCAACTCATAGCAACCCCTCCTTGGGTTTCTGAGGCAGTATCACAACAGATGTAAATTGCCCAACCTTCCTTCTGAGGGGTGTGTTGGAATCCTAACCCCTATACCTGTGAGTTTAATCTAATCTAATCACCTTCCATAATGCAGTGTGATATAGTCAGTTGAGATCATGTCAGTGTAGAGTAGACCCTACACCTAATTATTCCTGAATTATATGAAGAACACCACAGACACAGAGAGGAAAGTACACACTGTGAAAGACAGATGCCAATAGCCAAGGAATATTCAAGGCATTTGACAAAAAAAAAGGAATCTGATTTGAATTTTCAGCCTCTAGAACTGTAAGACAATAAACTCCTTCTTTAAATCCATCCACTTGTGGTATTCCTGTCACAGCAGCACTAGAAAACTAAGACAGTTGAGGGAGATACAGGTGGAAACACACAGTTTGGGACCTCATTTAGGAGTCAAGGGACTTGCTGCTGTGCTTAAGTATCTCTCTTTACTCTGTGAGCAATGGGAATCATCCAAGGTACCCAAATAGGAGAGCGACAGAACCAGAGTGAAACCTAGAGAAGACTGCTCTGGTGGCAGCATGATGGAGCAAGAAAGCCAGACCAGGTACAGAGGCTATTTTAATGGGTCACAGAAACAGAAACGGTCTCAAGGGCAGCAACAGCAATAATGAATAGCACTCAAAAGTCCCAGGAATGCAGGCGAAGAAATTTTCCCCTGGGGCACTGCTTCTTGCTATCTCTGGATATTCTCTTCAGGAGGAAATATGAGAAAATGGAAAAACTCAGAACAACTTCCTCAACCCACCACAATGCTGAGTTTTTAACAGTGACCTGCCATATCTGCCTAGCAAAGCCTACTCTGAAGTTTTAATTCATCTTCATGTATAAAACAAACTTTTAACTGTAGTATATGGGAACTGCAAGCATTATTTTTCCCTTCTACGACCAAGATTATTTAATCTGAGATAAAATCCTTGTACCCAGGGCAGCCACAACATTGAGACAAATTAAAGCCCACACAACAACAGTCTCATATTCCTGAAAAAGAACTGAACAGGGAGATTGGGCTTTGGAGGTTTTGTTGTTGTTTTATGAAGGAGGGAGCAAGGAGGGGCAAAAATAATAAAGATCTATGTACTGTTGGGCTGCAGGGTACAAAGCAATCTGCATTTCCATTTCCTTTCAGGTTAAGTACTTCTGAAAAGCAACATCGGTGTCCCATTCCTTTCCAAGTTAACTATGAGAGCCCAAGGCCTCAGTCCAATACTGGACTGAGCAGCACTGGTTCAGATCTGAACTGGCCAATAAATATCTGATCTGAATACATTAACAACCAGACCTCATTTTTCTCAACAATACAAACCAAGTGTTGGGCTTTAGAGGCTCTAAGGTTCCTTCTAGCTCTGAAATTGTAATGACACTCTTTGATCTTTGTTTCTTCCAAATTCTTTTAATAAGCACATAACAAACACCCAGGGTGGAGTACTAACCTAAGTGTCCAACTTACCTCCACACTCTACTGCATCACAAAGTTTAGGCTTGAGACTTTCAAATGAGGTCGACTTTGTCCTTAAAAAATACCCTTTGAAAACAATCAGTCCTAGCAACTGGTACACCATCCGATCTGCAACCTATACAACTATGAGACCAGAAGAACTAGATGGTGCCCAGCTACCATTGCCATCCACTTGGAAGGGATGTAGGAGATCCTGCATAAAGAGGGAGAACAATGTGGTACAAAACTCAAAAT